AAGAAGAAAGAAAGAAAGAAAGAAAGAAAGAAAGAAAGAAAGAAAGAAAGAAAGAAAGAAAGAAAGAAAGAAAGAAAGAAAGAAAGAAAGAAAGAAAGAAAAGAAAGAAAGGAAGGAAGGAAGAAAGAAGGAAAGGAGGAAGGAAGGAAGGAAGGAAGGAAGGAAGGAAGGAAGGAAGGAAGGGAAGGAGGAAGGAAGGAAGGAAGGAAGGAAGGAAGGAGGAAAGAAAGAAAGAAGGAAAGAAAGAAAGAAAGAAAGGAGTATAATGGATAAGCAGGATGCAATGGCTCAAGCCTATAATCCTAGCTACTTAGGAAGTGCTGAAAACAGCTTCAGCAAAAAGTTCACCAAGACCCCCATCTCAACTAATGGCTGGGCATGTTGGCACATGCCTGTCATCACAGCTACACGGGGAAGCACAAATAGGAGGACTGTGATCCAGGATGGCATATGCATAAAGTGAGACTCTATCTCAAAATAACCAACACAAAAAGGACTGATGGAGTGGCTCAAGTGATTGAGCACCTGGGAATTAGTTTATATAGTGTTAAGTTTGTGTTTATATGGAAAAAGAAATCTGGGATTTCCCCTTCCATCATTTGCTGATGTCCTTCCCTTTATTGTCTTATTTTTCTCTGGTTAGGGATCACATTTATCCGCTTTTTTGCATTTCTACTAATTATTTTTTTAGATTCTGAGTATGATAGACGTTCTGTTGTTGTCTGGATTTTGTTGTCTTCCTTTGAAGAGTTCTGGCTTTGTAGTACTAGGAGACAGATAATATTCTTAAGAGTCAACTTATCTTTTCAAGTCTTGCTTCTAAGCTTTATTACAGCACATCTAGATCACCTTTATTCTTAGGCTAATTTGTTATTATAAGTTATATCTATTCCTAAGCAATGGTCTTTTTTTTTTAATTCTTTTTTTTTCATTTTTCTTTTATTATTCATATGTGCATACAAGGCTTGGTTCATTTCTCCCCCCTGCCCCCACCCCCTCCCTTACCACCCACTCTGCCCCCTCCCTCTCCACCCCCCTCAATACCCAGCAGAAACTATTTTGCCCTTATTTCTAATTTTGTTGTAGAGAGAGTATAAGCAATAATAGGAAGGAACAAGGGTTTTTGCTGGTTGAGATAAGGATAGCTATACAGGGCATTGACTCACATTGATTTCCTATGCGTGGGTGTTACCTTCTAGGTTAATTCTTTTTGATCTAACCTTTTCTCTAGTTCCTGTTCCCCTTTTCCTATTGGCCTCAGTTGCTTTTAAGGTATCTGCTTTAGTTTCTCTGCGTTAAGGGCAACAAATGCTAGCTAGTTTTTTAAGTGTCTTACCTATCCTCACCCCTCCCTTGTGTGCTCTCGCTTTTATCATGTGCTCATAGTCCAATCCCCTTGTTGTGTTTGCCCTTGATCTAATGTCCACATATGAGGGAGAACATGCGATTTTTGGTTTTTTGAGCCAGGCTAACCTCACTCAGAATGATGTTCTCCAATTCCATCCATTTACCAGTGAATGATAACATTTCGTTCTTCTTCATGGCTGCATAAAATTCCATTGTGTATAGATACCACATTTTCTTAATCCATTCGTCTGTGGGGCATCTTGGCTGTTTCCATAACTTGGCTATTGTGAATAGTGCCGCAATAAACATGGATGTGCAGGTGCCTCTGGAGTAACAGTCTTTTGGGTATATCCCCAAGAGTGGTATTGCTGATATCAAATGGTAGATCGATGTTCAGCTTTTTAAGTAGCCTCCAAATTTTTTTCCAGAGTGGTTGTACTAGTCTACATTCCACCAACAGTGTAAGAGGGTCCTTTTTCCCCGCATCCTGCCAACACCTGTTGTTGTGTGTTGCTGATGATGGCTATTCTAACAGGGGTGAGGTGGAATCATTAGTGTGGTTTTAATTTGCATTTCCTTTATTGCTAGAGATGGTGAGCATTTTTTCATGTGTTTTTGGCCATTTGAATTTCTTCTTTTGAGAAAGTTCTGTTTAGTTCACGCCCATTTCTTTATTGGTTCATTAGTTTTGGGAGAATTTAGTTTTTTAAGTTCCCTGTATATTCTGGTTATCAGTCCTTTGTCTGATTATAGTTGGCAAATATTTTCTCCCACTCTGTGGCTGTTCTCTTCAGTTTAGAGACCATTTTCTTTTGATGAACAGAAGCTTTTTAGTTTTATGAGGTCCCATTTATCTATGCTATCTCTTAGTTGCTGTGCTGCTGGGGTTTCGTTGAGAAAGTTCTTACCTATACCTACTAACTCCAGAGTATTTCCTACTCTTTCCTGTATCAACTTTAGAGTTTGTGGTCTGATATTAAGATCCTTGATCCATTTTGAGTTAATATTGGTATAGGGTGATATACATGGATCTAGTTTCAGTTTTTTGCAGACTGCTAACCAGTTTTCCCAGCAGTTTTTGTTGAAGAGGCTGCTATTTCTCCATCGTATATTTTTAGCTCCTTTGTCAAAGATAAGTTGCTTATAGTTGTGTGGCTTCATATCTGGATCCTCTATTCTGTTCCACTGGTCTTCATGTCTGTTTTTGTGCCAGTACCATGCTGTTTTTATTGTTATTGCTAAGCAATGGTCTTTTTGAGGTATCTACTGAATGCTCCAGGTTTTCAATGAGATTTCTCCCGCCCTATATAAGTCCCAGAAGTTACTTAACTTACAAGTCCCATCATGGGTATCCTTATACAGACCTCTTGAGTTCTCTCTCTGCATACCTCCCTCCTCTTTCACCCTAGAAATTCAATAGTCTATACCTTCCCAAACTCTGATTTAGTCTCTTCAGTTCAGCAAGACAATCAATCATGCTTTGTGCCTCTGAGATCTCAGGTCTGGAAAGTAAACAGAAAATTAACGTAATGGGAGATACCATCTCAATAGCTTCCCTTCTTCCCTAAGGGATTAAAGTCCTGTGCTATTTTCGACAAGCTGAAAACAGATATTTCATATGTTTTGTCCATTTTGTGGTAATTTATATCAGGAGAGCTAGTTTGAGACCAGTCACTCCTTCATAGTTGGAAGCTGAAGACCATTGCCCTTATTTTTAACTTTCTAAAACCTTTATTTCACTCTAAATTCTAGTTCATATTTCACTGTCTCCATTAAATTCCTTTACTTACCTCTCTGTAATCTCTGTACATAGCTCTTTTGCGGCCATTATCACATATTCAATGTTATACCATAGTTAGTCTGTAGGGACATCGTATGTCTTGATCATTTCAATAATGCCTAACATGCTATGGAACTCAAAAATGCTTATTTGTTAAAGGGGTAAGATACTCCAAAGGATCGTCTTTTTTGGGTGGTAATAAATAAGAGGAGGATAAATTACCTCCTCAGTTAGTAGAAGGTTAGAATATATAGCTTGCAGTGTCTCCCAACACAAAACTTCAATGACAAAATAGAAGTTATGCTACATCTACAAAATGGATATTATATGATTATTCTAAATGGGGGATATATAAAATGCTTAAAATAAAATATTAGGTGAATCACCAAGATTCCATATATGATGATCATTACAGCCATGGAAAACTTGCATATAAAATGCTGGAAGGAAGTATTCTTAAATAATACAGTTGTTTTAATTCATATGTACTATTGACTTTCTTTTTCAGTTCTAGGAATTGAACCCAGGGCCTTTTGCTTGCCAGGCAAGTGCTGTATCACCGAGCTATATCTCAAGCCAACATTTTTGTTTTACAATGATCTAAGATTAGTGTTGAAAGACAGTTGGCTTGGCTATCTAACTCTTTCATGAAGGATGGATTAGGATGATTATTCCAAAAGCAAAATTTTATTTTTATTTTACATCCTCCAACATTTAGTTAGCTATTTAGTTAATAGCATTATTGAGAATATTGGTTCATATAGTGATCTGCAATCACATTTTGCAGCCAGCTCATCCTTGAGGGCTCACCAGGAAGCTTTGCTGCTCATAGTGAGGTACTGAGTGGTGTATTGAGACTGGTAATGATTAAGACCATTGTTTGATAACATCTACTTTATGTGTTTTCCAGGATGAAATTTTGACATTCAAAAGGAGCCAAGTTAGGGTACATTTTATGTAAGTCTGTACATCTGTGTGCCTATTTTCCAACACTTATAATCAGGAGATAGCAAGTATGTGAAGATAGTTTTTATGGATCAAGTTAATCATATTTTCAGAACAACCCATCATGGTTTTCTTTTTCCTAATATCTTCTCTTTACCCTTCCCTATTATCTAAAGGCAAAACTCAACTCTGAAATGTACCTTGATACAACATCTTGTGGAGATTCAATGAGATAATTCTGTAAAATTCTAAGAATGTCTAGCACAGAGAAATGATCCATCAGAGGGTTTCTTTTAGTATCATTATTTTGCAACGATTTTACTACATTCTCCTTTTTATATTCTATGTGAGTTGGGATAAGAGATATAAGAAGTTTGTCCAATGAAGGTGAGTTTTCCCCAAGCAGTATGCCTATAATCAGGAAAACTGCCCCTGAGAGAAAAGAGCATCCCAGTGAGAGATAACTTAAAAAAGTAAGTATATACTCTACTAACCAATTTTGTTTTGTTCACTGCTCTATGGCTACAGTGTTAGAACAATGACTGATAGGTCATAAGCACTCCATAAATATTTACTAAATTAATGTCATGATACATGTCTCTATAAAAGACATAATTTATTATTAAAAAATAGCATAGAGATGCCCCATTTCTACTTTAAACTCACAAATAACATTCAGAAAAAGAGCTAAAATTAAAACAAACTTTTAAGCACAAGTTAGGTATTCTTATCACTATTATCATAAATTCTAAGTCAATAAATACTGGCTTTTCTTTCTACCTAGAAAAGGCTCATTCTTCTCTCTCAGCTGGTACTTCCCTCAGGCTCTTTATACAATCCAAGACCTCCATCTCTGTATTTTATTCTCAGCTACTTCCTCAAAGAAAATATGCTAATCACTTCCTTGCAGGTTACCTCTTCCTCATCCAGAGCAATCTACTCAGCCTTCTTCAAACAAGGTAAGACATTATCCAATTCTTCCAGGAAGGACTAACCTAGTCTGTTACTAGGAAAACCCAGCCCATGATCCTGGGCTGGCCTCCTCCTAGTCTAGATCTGCTTTCTGCTTTCATATGGAAGGGACTCAGTGCCATATTTCTGCAGTGGGGGCTCCTATCCACATTCATTATTCAGCTACAATTTATTATCTGCTTCCATTATTTTGAAGGGACTGACCTGGTTTTATGCTAATCTATGATGTTAAACTATCAAGGTAAATAGAACAAATTATCTACAAAATTATATAGAGGTTTTCTCCTGCCTCCTCCCTGCCAAGATCAAAACAGAGTATAAACACTGTTAATCCAGTCCTTAAAGGTCATACTCCTGCTAATCCATCCTCATACTGCAAGAACAAATCACAGCACACTCACATTTTTCACATTTAAGGTTCATTCTGAGAAATGACTATTTATTAAATAAGTTAAAATTTGCCTTATGAATCATAAAGCATTAGATAAATAAATTTTGCCTTATGAATCATAAAGCATTAGATAAATGCTGGCTTTAAGTGTGGCCATTCTTATGTCTTGACAGTCTTTCCCCATCTCATAAGAAGGAGGTTATTAGATTCACGTGAAACATCTAGTTGTGGTCCCTTATGGACTAAAACATTCCCCTGGAAACAAAACACAGATGCAGCTGCTCCAGTTGGCTCCAAGTTGCATCTCCTCTCCAAGGAGGCTCTTCTCAACCTTCAAAATGAAAGGGAGCTATTCTGCTCTATAAATGACAGTAGTGTCTATAGCAGCACATACAGAAAGGGACATTAGTCTTCTGTGAACATCCTAGGGTGTGGGGAGCCAAGGGCATGGAGGTCTCACAGGAGAGAAGCAGAAAGTCCACAGAGCTGGCAGCTGGCAGAAGAATGTAGTCCAGGAGTAAAGACATCCAGGAGAGAAGACATCAATTCCAAGCCCAAAGCAGATCAGCCCCCCTTCTCCACTAAGTGTGAGTATCTAGAGTTCATGTGGGTTGACATTGCTCCCTGCCTAAAGAGAGGCCCACTTCTGTCCCAACCTATATAAATACAAAGACAGCTTACCATATTTCTTAATGTCTTGCTTTTTCCAGAAGTTTCCAACAGATAAGGTCTATATTTGCCAACAAACTTTTGGAGGACATAAGAAGAAATTCCATTCCCTCTACTCTATCCCCTCACCTTCTTTTCATACCTTAAAAGGCAATTCTGTAAATAACAATAGTTAGTCCCTTAAGAATCACCTCTAAGAAACTAGCACAGATGGATAGTCAGGGGCTTTTTACCACCACCACCCCCTGGGTCCCAGTTCTACTCTCTGAGAATGTATTTTAAATATATTTCTTCTTATTTATAGGAATGCCTCAAGTATCTGAAAGCAGCCTCTGTATTCTTCCATTAGTTTTGACTTTTCCAGATTAAACATCTCCACATTCTTCACATATTTCTCATCTTTCATAGTTCTCAACCTTAAATCATGATAGTCAACAAAAACATCCAAGTTATTTTTACACAAATGGTTACAAAGTCAAGTGTTACCCTTCTTGTGCTTGTTCAACTCATTGTTAAAGCTTATATCAGATTTTATATGTGTCCTTGTTAAATTTCTTTGTTTTTAGTTTAATGTTCCAATGGCAAGATTCTTTTGAATTCTAATTCGTTCATCTATAATTGGTTTCCTCTTCATTTCATATCATCTGAATTTTGATGAACCACGAATATTTATGATATCTATGAAAGTCACTGCTAAAGGGGTGAACTTGTTCAAAGTACATTGTACGCATCTGTTCCATGATCAGAATGACACACCCTTGTACTGTTAATGTTTGCTAATATAAAAGAGGTGAAAGGTCACTGTTAAAAATAGGTGAAGGAGACAAGATCTAGAACACATCTTTTCACTAGACATCCTTCTCTAGATTTTTGGTCATTAATGAATAATTGTGTTGTGTGGTAGCCAAAGTGTTATCTTTAAGCACAGTGTTCATTTTTTCTACAAAGCTTTACTGAATTAATATGTCCTCTTTCTACTCCTCTCTCGACCTATTTAATTACTAATGCTCTAATAAAGGACATTATGTGAGGTTTCACATTATGATTAGTATTACAAATCTCTTCTTGATCTCTTATGAGATTTCCAACTAGTTTATAAAACATCTATTTAAGCCAGGCATGGTGCTTTATATCTGTAATCCCAGCACATGGGAGGCAGAGGTAAGAGGATCATGAGTTCAAAGCCAACCTGAGCTACATAGCGAGACTGTCTAAAAAAAAAAAAAAAGTCTGTTTAAGAATTTCACCAGAGATCAACCTCAAATTCAAGAGCAATAGTAACTTTTTGATCATAAACGTTGGTTCAGAGTCTAGACTTGAGAAGGTTGGGGTCAGTAGACTGGTTGGTTGATTTGATTGGTTAAATTAGTTTCATTTTTTGTTCCATCTCTGCTAAATCAGGTGTTCTATTTTACTCTCAGTTGAAATCTCTTCCTGGCTCTTTAAGAAGTCATTAGTTTATAAAGGCAAAATATGTTGAATACGTGTGAAAGCATTCAGTTTGTTCTGTCTCTGTATCACATGAGACTGAATGCATGTCTGTATGACATAAGCCCAAAACCAGAGGAAAAAGTACCAGGGCAGGAACACAAAAGGCCTGTGCTCATGCTGCTATCTGCAAATGTGGAATGTCATGTTTTTTAATTTAAAAAATGTAGAGACTGTATCACATTAATCTTTCTTTTCTCTTTTTCTCTCTTTCTCTCTCTCTCTCTCTCTCTCTCTCTCTCTCTCTCTCTCTCTCTCTCTCACACACACACACACACACACACACACACACACACACACCTTTTTGACTTCCATCTCTATTCTTAATCATAGATCCATCTCAACCTCTGAGTGGAAACATTCCAATATTCTCTTAGTTAGGGGAGGACCCAGAGATTCCTTCTCCTTTTTAGGAATCAAGTATTACTTGTGATGCTTTATCATGGAATATGCTGAAATTTTTCCATGGTAATTTGCTATTTGAAATTTCTTAATTTTTTTATTCATTCCACAAGTACTAATCGTGCTCTTCCTGTGTATTTGGTGGTAAGTTAGTGCTACAGTAATTATGAGGAGAAAATCTGTACTGGGGTAGAAATTTCTAAAGAACCATGAATAGGTGAGATAAATTGAGCATTTGACCTACATGGAGAATACAGAGCAGGAGAACTAAGAAAAATATAGAATACTCAACTTCTGACAAACTAACCAGAGACTGGGGAAAGTTTGGAAATGGCTTTACCAAGAGTTACCAGGCCACTTGTCCAAGGAGAAAGAATGTCTTCCTAGGGGAGTCGAATCTGGGCTAATACAGATTTTTCTATACTGCCTCTCTCACAGAGTAGATGGCATAGATCATGTGCCTGGATCTCCAAGTCTGACTTTCTTAGAAAGCGAAAATAGTCAAGATGAGTGGCTGCCTCAGGGATGTGCATGACTCCAGAGTAGGATCATCTTCCCTGAAGGCCATGGGCACCATTCCCACCTTTCTAGAAGGGTTCACCAGGTGGCTCTCCTGTCGGTACTCGGCCAGGATCACCATGTAAATGGGTTCCTGCTGATGGGAAGAGTGCTATGATGCTCTCTAATTGTAACATTTTTATCACTGAAGAAAAGGTTTAGGAAGGCACTATAGAACTGTGGGAGCTTGGAGTCAAGCAAACTTGAGCTCAAGTCATGACTTTACCATAGTAACCTTGAATAATTGCTTCAATTATTCTTCTAAATAAATAGGAGACAATAAAGCTTGTCTCCAATGCTTGTTGTGATGTATAAATGAATAAATCAAGCTTGAAGGGGATCATAATAAGATACTGCTTAATATTGGTTATTGTCATCTCTTCCCTTCAGCTCAGATCCAGATGAGGAAGCAATCCAGTGGTGACAGTGAAAACCAGACCACCTGGCTGATTCTAGTGGGCTTTTGGGAGTTGCAACACCTGGGCTTCCTGTCCTTCACCCTCTTTCTTGTCATCTATGTTGTGACAGTTGGAGGCAATGTCCTCATCATGCTGGTTGTAGCCTCCAATCGAACACTCCACACACCCATGTACTTCTTCCTCTGCCACTTCTCCCTCCTAGAGATCGGCTACATCTCCAACATTATGCCTGGGCTGTTACAGAGTTTGCTGAAAGGAAAGGAAGTTATCTCACTGGTCAGCTGCCTGATCCAGTTCTACACATTTGCCTCACTGGCTGCAGCTGAATGCCTCTTGCTCTCAGTCATGTCCTATGACCGCTACTTGGCCATCTGCCATCCCCTTCACTACCCTGTTCTTATGAGCACCTGGTTTTGTACCTGCCTGGCCGGTGGTGCCTGGGTCAGTGGTTTCTTCTTCTCTTCCTTTACTCTGGCCCTGGCAGCCCCTCTATCCCTCTGTCCTGGCAGCAGGGAGATCGACCACTACTTCTGTGACTTCAGTCCAGTTGTAGGACTGTTCTGTGGGAATGTGAGGGTCATGTGGGGAGCTGGAGTCAGCATCTCAGGCTTCCTGACAGTGGCCCCCTTCCTGTTGATTGTGACATCCTATGCCTTCATCCTGAGGGCTGTGCTACAAATACCTTCAGGCCATGGGCGACAGAAAGCCTTCTCCACCTGTTCCTCCCACCTCAGTGTGGTTGGAGTGTTCTATGGCACCCTCATTGTAGTCTATGTAGCCCCAACAAGCCACATGGTCCCCTTGTTTCAAAAAGCCTTCTCTGTCCTCTACACTGTCCTCACTCCCATGGTCAACCCCATCATCTATAGCCTCAAGAACCAAGAGGTAAAAGGGGCTCTGCATAGACTCTGGGGACAGCTCATCCTAAGACACACACTCCTGAGAAGGACAATTTCTTCCTCATTTTCAGCTTAGTCTCTTTCTCAAGACTGGATGGAAAAGACCACCATGATAAAATGATGGAGACTGTGGGATTGAAATTGAATATGTAGGGCTGGGTGCATGGCTCAGTGGTAAACAGCTTGCCTAGTAAGCATGAGGCCTTGGGTTCAAGTCCCAGTACTGCCCCCACCCCAAAAAGAAAGTAAGTGTCTAACAAAATGAAGTAATTCCAATGTTCCCATTGTAATTAGGTAGAAATCAAAATCACATGTCTGGCACAGGGCTTAAATACTATAGTCATTCCATAAATATTAGGTGAAAAAAATGAATTAATTCTAAAAAGAAGGCAAAGCAGGGCAGTAACACCAAGTGGGGAACGTTTGCAAAATCTTAATGCAAGGTGGCGAGGATTGATGTTGGCGACAGGAAAAGAGGGCTTAGGCAGGTGATAATGAGAACCAGAGTTAAGTTATGATCTCATGATATGCTTCCAGTAAAATCTCAGAAATGAAGAAACAAAAGTCTTAGATAGAAAGTCTGTAGAGTAGATAGCAGGAGGATGAGAGGCTCTCTCACTGCACACAGACAGGGCTCTGCCTTGGAAGGCAAAGGTCAGTTAGGGGAGAGTCACTAATGCTTGGAGCCCAGGAGGCCAATTAGGCCACTGCTCTGCCAGTTCCCATTAGTCCTCCTATTGTTGATGTTGGACCAATAAGTAGTAGAGGAAAGGAAAAAGACAATTAAAAAGAAAAAGGAAGGATAAATTAAACCCAATGAGAATGTTTTGAAATTTTGCCTCTGTCAGAGAATCTTTGAAACCTTTAAAAAATGGCCAAGCTTGGTGGTTCATGCTTGTGATACCAGCTACTCAGGATGCAGAGATGATGGCTTTGAGGCCAGCCCGGGCAAGAAGTTAGCAAGACCCTAACTCTATTAATAAGCAAGGTGTGGTGGTGGTATGTGACTGTGATCCCAGCTATATGGGAGGCCATAGGTAGGAGAATCATGATCTGAGGCCAACCCAGGGCAAAAATGCAAGATCCTACCTGAAAAAAACTTAAAATAAAAGAGGGTTGAGGCATAGCCTCAATGAATGAAGATTTCTAGGCAACAGGACCCACAGAACGTGGCTCCCTAGAAATGAGGCCCAGAAGTCTGCATTTAATGACCAACACACTTGCTTCTCAGTAAAGGGAAAAGCTACAGTGTCCAGGGATGGGGGGGAGGGGATAGTAGGAAAACCAAGCAAGAAAGAAAGGGAATATAGACGTTCATGGATGTAAAAAGATATATCCCTAAGTAGTGGGAACTAGAGAGACTGACTTATTAAAAAGGGTGAGTGGGGGGACGTGAAGGGCATTAAAAGATCTGGGACAGACATCTGTCCTGTCTGGTGGGGAGGGAATATAAAGAAAGGAGAAAAAATAGGTAACCTGTCTGGAATGTTGCTTGGGAGGTAGGCAGGATCCCAGCTGGGTCTGAGTATTAAAAATGTCTCTGTGGGCTGGCTATGGTGGGACAGAGATGAAGGAGGGCGAGCATGTATACTTGTGTGAAAAACAGAACAGTGAAACCTGCTGAAGTTTTTTTGAAGTTAAAATTCTTTTCTATTATAAAATTTTTTATTAGGATATATTCACTATACAGGGAGGATTTGAACTGACAATTCCAATTAGACTTACATTGTATATTGTTTACATTTCTCCCATCATCTCTCTCCCTCAGCCCTGTCCCCACCTCACCCAAAGCAATTGCAAGAGGTTTTTTAGTTCTGTTTCATATAGGTATATGAAGTCCATCAACCATATACCATCCTGAAATTGTTTAAAGAAGAGGATGAGAGAGAACGATGAAGAGAGTTAATCTAACCAAGGTACATTGTAAGCACATATGGAAATGTCACAAAGAAACCACCCTGTACAACTAAAATATGCTAATATAAGTGTTTTTTAATGTCTCTGTGGTACTCATTCTTTACATTAAAGTCAAAAGTAAAACCCTGTGTTGTGTGTGTGTGTCCTGGAGAGATGACCAAAGCAGAGTAAACCAGAAGCACAGCAAGCTCCTCAGCAAAAACAGCACCCTCCTCAGAATTCACCTCTCATACCACACAAAAGATTCCATTTACCCCAATACACAGGATGTTGAGAACACAGACTAGCAAGTCTTCTATTTAACAATCCCAGATGGTTATGTGAAAAAACAAATTTGAAAACAGGAAATGAAAAATGTAATCATTAAAATATTTAAAGACTCAATAGATGAAGTAAACTGTAGACTTAAAACAGAGAGAATTAATGAATAGTAAGACAATATTGAATACTTCACCCAGAACACAGCACAGAGAGGTAAAGAAATAAAACATCACAAAGCAGTAAAAAGACATAGAGTTTAAGTGGAGAAGTTCCAAAAATTACTGATCGATATTCCTGAAAAACACAGGGGAGAAAATAAACAACAGTAACTGGAGAGTGAAAATTGTCTAGAATTGAAAACAGATACAAATTCTCATTAAGATGTACTCGAGGCTGAAATTGGATTGGGGACGTAGCTCAGTGGTAGAGCACTTACACAGCACACTCGAGGCCCTGGGTTTGATCTCCAGCACCACAAAAAGAAAAAAAAAAAGAGCATGGAATGGTAGCTCAATGTTGGGGTATGTGAATGAGACCTTGGGTTTAATCCCCAGCACCAAATAAAATAAAATGTCCTCAAAATACTAAACAAAACATCCAGACTTTGACACAGACTATCATAGATAAAGAAAACACATACTTGTACTTATTGAGCATTTCCTGAATAACAAAGGTTGGAAATAAGCTAAATGTCCATTAGTAAAAGAATTACTACAAAATGTGTAACAATATAATGAAATGTTGTAGAGTAGCTGATGGGAATGAGAGTAAGTATCAATATGGGCAAATCCAAAACACTTGCGAAGTGGAAAACAACATGGAGAATGGTGTGAACAGTGTTAGGTAATTTGTTAAAGTTCAAAACCACAAAATACTCTTACTGTGTGTGTATATAATGCATATCAAAGACACAAAAACTGCATGGAAATAATATATGCATGTTTAACATCATTCTTACCTCTGTAACAATGACCTTGCCTGAAGGCTGTGTGTTCTCCCAAAGCCAACAATAACTGCATTTAGAAGTAATGGATCACAGAACTGGCATTTTGAGACCATCACCTCCCCCATCGTCTTTTTGTTTTTGTTTTGTTTTTCTGAAGCAGGGTCTTACTATGTAGCCCAGCCTGGCCTTGACCTTTTATACCTCCTGCCTCCACCTCCTGAGTGCTGAGATTACAGATGTGTACCACCATGCCCAGCTCCCACCATCATTTAAAGTTCCCTATTTCCATAAAGTTTGTGTAATTGAGGCATAAACCTACCATCCTTCTTTTACTCCTCTCCCTCATTCCTTAAGAATACTGGAACTTGTTTCATTAGAATGACTCTCCATCCTAAGACCTGGATTTGCCATTACTCTGAGTGATTCAAACATCCATGTTGTCTGATCCAACATCCATTTTGGGGAGCAATACTGGGGTTTGAACTCAGGATTTCAAAATCTAAGCCTTGCTTTGCAAATATCTTCAATTTGCTTACCTATCATCTTTCAGTCACACTTCCCTAGAAAAAAAATCTCACCCCAAATGCATGTTCTTATAGGCACACTCAGAGTAAGGGAGAACTTCTTGACTTGATCCCTGCATGCCTCTACAGATGTATTTCTTGACACTCATAAACTCAGGTTCTGTGCTTCAGCCATAATGATAATCTTTTATTTCCTTGAATGCAACCAACTCTCAGACCTTTTCACTTGTTGTTGTTGCTGTTGTTGTTGTTTGAAACAGGATCTTGCTACGTAGCTTAGGCTGGCCTTGAACTCACAGTCCTCTTGCTTGCCTCTCAAGTGAGGAATTACTGCATGCATTACCATGCCTGGTGCTTCACATACTTTTGCCCTATCTATAACAATTCCCAACAGCTATCTCTAGACCTTACATGAAAAATGAGCAATAAAGATTTATTGAATGGCTCAAGCAGTAAGACTGCCTTCCTAGCAAGTGTAAGGCTCTGAGTTCAAACCCGTGTACCACCAAAAAAAAAAATTTATTGAAATAATTTAATCAGTGAAAGACACGTGAGGGGGAGAATTCAACTATGATATATTTTAAGAACTTTTGTAAATGTCACAAAGTACCCACAGGACAACAATAATATAAATAAATAAAATACATCTCTGAAATGCCAAGGCAAAACCCCCTCAGACTATCAATATATGGGTTTTTTTTAAATGAAGGACAAGGGGGTAAGGGAAAAGGTAGGGGGAAGGGGGGAGAAGTGACCCAAACATTGTATGCACATATGAATAAAATAAAAATTTTAAAAAAGACATACAAGTGACAAACAGGAAAAAAAATGAAGGACAAGAGGGTAAAACAGGTCTTTTCTGGGCATGGGTACTGGTGTGAGAGGGAATGACTAAAGGTAAAGGGAAATGAGGGTGAATATGGTGGATGTATTTTGCATCCATACATGAAAACAGAAGAATTAAACCTGTTGAAATTGTTCTAAGAAGGGAGGAGCAGAAGGAGGGGAAGATATATTGTAAGCACATATGTATTTTTCAAGATGGGGGTATGGTAGATTAAAGATGGTGCAAGTGCTTTGCCCCTTCTTCCCTTAAAGAGCTAGAGCTGGCTCTAGCTTTGACCAATAGCAGTGATGGAAGTTTTTTCCACCAGCCTTGAGGGTGCTGCAGATTTAATTTCAAGTGCTTGGAATGCTAGCACTTGGAGCCCAATTGTCATGGGATGAGAAACTCAAGCAAGTAGAGAGGCCTTATGGAAGATAACTGACTTGTTCCAGCTCATTTCACAGTAGAGAGCCAGCACCAACTCCCAGCCATGTGAGTAAACCATCTGAAACATTCATCTCCTGATGACTGTAATGCTTCCAGATGACACCCGTGGGCTAGAGGAACCACAAGGTTGGGCCCAGTCAACCAAAAGGACTGTG